CACTCCTTGCACTGATAGGGCTTCTCTCCTGTGATTACTGTTGGCCATGAAACTTTTTCCACAGTGGGTACACTCAAAGGGGCTTTGACCAGTGTGGATTCTCTCGTGCAAGGTTAGACTAACTCCTTTGTGCCTGAAGGATTCTCCACATTCCTGACCTTCATAGACCATCTGTCTTACTCCTGGCGAATCTTTCCTGTAGTGTCTTAGAATCTGGGCATTTTGTTCTAGCTTCTCTCTTCTTAAAAAATTCTGGAAATCGTAGCTTGAGGATCCTGTGGCATCAGAGTGATCATATTTGTGGTTGGGGCTTCTATCATCACATTAAAAAGTGCTACATTCTGGATACATCTTCCATGACAGTCCAGCAGGGTAGCTGTTGGAAATGCAAACATGTCCGTGCCTGCTCAGTGTCCTTAATCACCACCTGTTCATGTGATTCTTCCATGGGCTGTCCTTAAACACTACAGTGGCCTACACCAGCAGACAGACAAAGCCTGGTGCCGAGCGCACAGCAGCGCCTGCCTGTTTGTGGTATATATATTTTATAATGTTTATTTATTCTTGAGAGACAGAGCACGAGTGGGGGGAAGGAGCAGAGAGAGAGGGAGACCCAGAATCCGAAGCAGGCTCCAGGCTCTGAGCTGTCAGCACAGAGCCCGACGTGGGGCTCAAACTCACGAATGGCGAGATCATGACCTGAGCTGAAGTTAGACACTTAACGGATTGAGTCACCTAGGCACCCCTGTGGCTTTTTTTTTTTTTTTTTTTTTTAATCTTCCAAATGAAGCCTGTGGTTTGCTTGGGTTATTTACTGACCACAGCCTGCTTGACGCCTCTTAGAAAAATGATTGTCATGACAGTAAACTTAGACTCACCCCCAAAGAATTCAACAGATTATCTGATGAGATTGTATCATCTTTCATGACCTGTGTCCTGTTCATGTGATGCTGGGTAGATGGCAGCTCGGAGTGATGTGATCTAAGAGGGTGGAGAACACTGAGGTCAGCTTTATGTAGGTGACTATTTGTAGGTTCCACGAATACCAGTAAGAGTATCATAAAGTCATTGTGCCAGATGGAGAACTAGTATTCTGGTTCGCACGGGCAGAGACTCGCTGTTAGCATCTTTTGGAGCCTTACACGGTCAGACACCGCTCTGAGCAATTTTATGTGAGTTGGTTTACTTGACCCTCACAACAGCCCTAAAGTCATTACCATTTTACTTATGAGGAAACTGAGATTTAGAAATTAAGCAACCTGACCAGTTAATAGAGCTGGCATTTGAATCTGTCCAACTTCAGAGCCCTTGCCGTGTGTCAGCATATTTCTTTCTTTACTCACTTCTGAGATGTCACATTCAACCTCAGCCACAGGAGATCTTTTTCCTTTGGTCAGTTTATGTGGAAAAGTGGCCTTTTCTGTGTAGGCTCCAGTGGAGACGGTCACCTTCCATTTATTCTGCAAATGTTTTTCTGAAGGTCCTCTGTGCTGTGCTGGGCATTGTGGGTTGCAGGGCCAGATACAACAGGGCTCCTGCGTGGAGTTTTCTCCATCTCTGTCTTGCCTCGTTGATACCTGTCATGACACCAGGATGCTTCTGTAATGTCCTGGCGCTGCCTGCCCTCTGTCACCCTTCACATGCCCTTCCTGCCTGAAGTGCCTTAAACCGTCTCCCTTAGTTCCTTAAATCAGTTTCAGTGTCTCTGAAAGTTTTTCTTTCAGAGGAAAAGTACATAGTCTCGAGGGGCACCTGGGTGGCTTAGTCAGTTGAGCATCTGACTCTTGATTTTGGCTCAGGTCATGATCTCACAGTTGTGGGATCAAGCCCCACATTGGGCTCTGGGCTGACAGCACAAAGCCTGCTTGGAAGTCTCTGTCTCTCTCTGCCCTTTCCCCCGTTGCACGTGCTCGCTCGCTCTCTCTCAGTAAATAAACTTTAAAAACTACATAGGCTTGAGGCTTTAATGTTTTTTCCATCTTCAACAAAGGGTTAAAGCTGAAAAAAAAATCTGCCATCCCAAACTCCTAGAAAGCTATATGCAGAGAAAATTAGAAACAAATGCCTTTAGTATTAAAAAGCAAGACAAAAAATAAATGTAGTATTGGTCTTAAGAAACTAGGAAGGCGGGGCACCTGACTGGCTCAGTTCATAGAGCATGTGACTTTTGATCTCTGGGTTGTGAGTTCAAGCCCCATGTTGGGCCTAGAGCTTACTTAAAAAAAATAACAGGGGCACCTGGGTGGCTCAGTCGGTTAAACATCTGACTTTAGCTCAGGTCATGATCTCACAGTTGGTGGGTTCGAGCTCCTTGTCAGGCTCTGTACTGACAGCTCAGAGCCTGGAGCCTGCTTCAGATTCTGTGTCTCCCTCTCTCTCTGCCCCTCACCTGTTCACACTCTGTCTCTCTCTCTTTCAAAAATATACATTAGAAAAATAATAAAAGTAAATAAAAATAACACTAAAAAAAAGAAACTAGGAAGGAAAGAACAATAAACAAAAAGGAAGTAGGAAAAAGGAAATAGTAAAGATAAAATGTGAATTCAAGAAAACAGAGAACATCAAGAAAGAAAAGAAAAAACCCTAAAAGCTGGTTCCTTTTTAAATTTTATTTATTTATTTTTTTTACATTTATTTATTGAGAGACATAGAGAGACAGAGCACATGTTGGGGAGGGGCAGAGAGAGAAGGAGACACAGAATCCAAAGCAGGCTCCAGGCTCTGAACTGTCAGCACAGAGCCCGAAGCGGGGCTCTAACCCACAAACCATGAGATCATGACCCGAGCCGAAGTCTGAAGCTTAACTGACTGAGCCACCCAGGCGCCCTAAAGCTGGTTCCTTTTTAAGATCGGTAATAAATTACTGTCCCAAGTTAATATAACTTGTTTTAGAATTAGTCAAAATTATTTATTTTTAAATGTATTAAATTAACTAAACCTACTTAACTATCAGTAGAGGCTGATTGAATAAACTGGAACACATCCACACAGTAGAATGACCGCAACTGCAAACAGAAGGAAGTTCTCTGTATTCTGCATGGTGCAGCACAGGGCATGTAGAATGCTAGCTTTTGTGTAAAAATAAAAGGGAGGAAAAAGAACATACGTTAACATTTGCTTTCATCTGCAAGTATAAATGCCAGGAGGAAGGAGGCATTGCTAATCAGTAACCATGCTTCCCACGTAGTAGGAGTGGGGCAGGTGTGGACAAGAGTTCAGTAAGGGAGACTCTTCCCTCCATGCGTATTTTTAATGTTTATTTTTGAGAGAGAGAGAGAGAGAGAGAGAGAGAGAGTGTGAGCGGGGGAGGGGTAGAGAGTGAGGGTGATGGAGAATCCAAAGTAGGCTCTTCACTTATAAAACTGCTCTAAAAAAGAAAAAAAAAAAGTTCGATGCAGGGCTCAAGCTCACGAGCTGTGAGATCATGACCCAAGCTGAAGTCGGACATTGAACCCACTGAGCCACCCAGACATTACCATGCATATTTCTTTTAGAATTTTTGGAACCATGAGAATGCATTGGTTATTCGAGAATTAATTTAAGTTTGTTATGTATAAAGGTTTTTTTTTTTTTTTTCCCAGTCAATAGGAAAAAGGTGAACAGCTCAAACAAAAAGTGAGGAAAGTGCCTATCGCGGTACCTCCGTGTTGTGGGATCCTAGCCCGCTGCAGTGTGGTGGGGGGAGTGAACCAGAATAGCAGGGTCTGTCTCGGGGTGTTGAGAATACAGGCAAAACATTTATTTTCTTTCTTGTAATGTTCTTAAGTTCCTGCAGTGACTCCTCTTTGTAACAGAGGCAGTTTCTAAAGAAGCAATTAAGATAAAGGAAGCCTAGAACAAAGTAAGAAAATTAAAAAAAGGAAAGTCAATCTGAAGAGTAGCAAGGGAAAACAGCGCTAGCAGATGTGACACAGATTATAAAGCAGCAGTAATTGTGATGCTGTGGCAGCAGCACAAATCCTGAACTTTCAAAGCTGTAGAAAGACTCACGCGCATCAGTGCGTTCTTGTGTGCCCATGAGAGATTGTGGCAAAATGAGTATTTGAAGTAGAAAAGTAATGGAAAAGGAAGGGATAATTCATAAATGGTGGTTGGTAATTTTGGAAATAATGTTCGCATAGTACATCAAACGGCTGGGACAGAGTTACACATTAAAGAAGACTGACAGCTCTGAGCAGTTCATGTCAAATAAAATGTGAAGAATGGTAATCTTAATAGTCATGAGGAAACAGCCTCACAGTGGAAAATATCTGTAGAGTTAAATTGTTTTAAAGAATTCACATTTTCATGCAGCATATCCTTAGGCCAAAAGCAAATGTGTGTAGATGTGTATCTGTCCTTAATATGGATGTGTCTTGTTTTCTGTGGATAAAGATGTAAAGGAAGTATGAGAATACAGACACAGCAACTGTCACAGTGTAGGAGTATAGATGAATTTTGTTTTCCCTTAATGATGTGCCAATTTTATTTTTGTAGCAAATGCTTATTTTTTTAATGTTTATTTTCGAGACCGTGCGAGTGGGGGAGGGGCAGACAGAGGGGGACAGATCCAAAACGGGCTCTGTGCTGACAGCAGAGATCCTGTTGTGGGGCTCAAACCCACGAACCGTGATATCATGACCTGAGTCGAAGTCAGTTGCTCAATGAACTCAGCCACCCAGGTTCCTCCCAAATACTTATTTTGAAGCTGGAAAATCCCTCTGGAATAATAAAGTATTTTTAATGAAGGGACAAATTAATTTGGTGGAGAGCCCAATGACTATATATTATTTAGGCTATTTCATTACTGGGACATATCAGATCACTCTCGTCATATAAATCATTCAGGTAAACTTTACCAGTGTTTGGAGAAAGCTCTTTAAAAGCTGAAGAGAAGGCAAAGAGAAGAAGCCGTCAAGGGTAATGGTGGAGAGTTCTGTACTTAATTGTCAGTTGCAGCTGCAAAGGATTAAGCTATACAATTCTGTTCACCTCTTTATTTTTACATTCTCTTTTTCCAGGTTGGTGGCACCAAGGCTGGCGTAGTCCGGTTTCTTGGGGAGACAGACTTTGCCAAGGGGGAATGGTGTGGTGTGGAGTTGGATGAGCCTCTTGGGAAGAACGATGGGGCTGTTGCTGGAACCAGGTTTGTTTGGAGTTGGAATCTTGCCTCCCTCTTGCACATATAAACGCTCAAGCAGATCTCACCAAGAGCTGCACTTTTATTTCTTAAGGCTCACTTACTGATTTTTTTCCCCCCACCAGAATTGGAGACATTCTTTTAACTGTTTCTTTTAGTAATATATAATGCATCTGAGTAAATTCTGAACAAGCATTCAATTTATTTTTTTTAGAGTAGTTTTAGTTTCATAGCAAAATTGAGAGGAAGGTACAGAGTTCCCATATGTCCCCTGCTCCCAACGTGCACAGCCTCCCCAGCTATCAACATCCTGCCACCCGATGGTACATTTGTTACAACTAATGAACCTAGATTGACACATCATAGTTTGAACCCCTCTGTTACAGGTTTGTCAGATAGTAGATCTATTTATTCCCTTGTACTTTAGTAGATCTTTAGTAACAGATCAGTAATTCTGTCTCTGTGTATCATGTTGTTATTTTTTAGTGTGTTTTCTAAAACATCCTGGAGGTTATCAGCCTACATACATGCGAATGCTACATGCTGGTTGATCACCCCAGCTTTCTGGTAGAATTCACAGCAAACCAGTCATGAGTTATAACCAGAAAACTATGCTTTTGCTTATAGTTGTTATTTCTTGTAATTAAGTCTTTTTGGTCACTGCTTTTATTATTATTCTCTAAAGGTATTTTCAGTGCCAACCCAAATATGGCCTGTTTGCTCCTGTCCACAAAGTAACCAAGATTGGTTTCCCTTCCACGACACCGGCCAAAGCCAAGGCTGCCGCCGTGAGGCGAGTGATGGCGACCACGCCCGCCAGCCTGAAGCGCAGCCCTTCTGCCTCGTCTCTCAGCTCCATGAGCTCAGTGGCCTCCTCCGTGAGCAGCAAACCCAGCCGTACTGGATTAGTAAGCCTCCCCGTCCTCACTGCATGCCTCTCCCTTCCAGGCACGATAAATGCCTACTGCTGGTGGACCTGCTTTGCTTTAGGAGCTATTAACTTGCCTTGTACTGAGTGTTAGTTGTAGCTTGTTGGAGGTCCGTTCCAGATGTCATAAAACAAAGCTTTAGCAGGAAGACAGATTTTGAAATAGGGTTTTGAACTCTGCTTCCAGGTTCTTGAGGCTCTAAGATGTATCAAGTTCTTGGTGAGTCTGTAGTAACTACTGTTGAGTCTAACATATGGGGTGATTTTCTCTGAAATTATTTTGGGCACAAGAATGACAGGAAAAAGGGAGGGATCGTTTTCCTCAACAACTTAGGTCTCTCTGACTTGAAATAATTTGAAGGAACTAAAGTATTCTGAGAAAAGGCGTGTTCTTAGAATTTAGGTAGCGTGTTAATACAGTCTAACCCACCGAGAGCGGTTAGTGTGTGGGATGTTCCTGTCTTGCGCCAGAGGACACACGGCAGAACAAGCAGAACTTGCAAGGATGCTAGGAAGTGCCACGCTGTGTCTCCTCTCTCCATCTCTTCCTCTCCCTTCCGCTTCCTCTCTCCACCTTTTTCCCATTAGGTCAGTAAAAATAGAATGATGAGAATTAAAATAGGCAGTGGTGGCTCATTCTGTTTGTTAATACAGTGTTTTATTAGGGTCAGAACAATGACTTCTTGTCTTGTCTCCTGCCAGTAAATTTATTTACTTGAAGTGAGGCAAACACTGTTTAGATTTGTAATGGCAGCATAAGACTGCGCTGCAGACTGAATTCTGGATCTCTGTGTTAATGACCGTAAACTACAGACAGAAGGGAGGATGTTAAATGGTGTGATCGGAAGTAAGGCTGCTGGCCTGCGGTCTCGTTTTGCCTTCTCTTCCACGGTCCACAGTCCTTGGGAAGAGAACGGGGGAGGATTCTTTCCTTCTAGTGCGGGGTGGGGGAGGAGTGCTCCTCTGCCAGCCAGCTGGACTTTCTCTTAAATTCAGGTAAAATAAATACCTGCTTGGACTATTTCATTTCACATATGAAAAGAAAGTCTACATCTTCAAGAGAAAAATTACAAATGGACTTTTACAAGAAAAGCTTGATAAGAACAATGACATAGAGGTGAAGCCACCCCTCTTTGGACAGAGCATCGTTCAGCAAACTCACATGGACATCTAGTCTACTTTGTTAATCCAGGAACAAGTCCATGCAGGTGTCTTCTCTGGATTAGGAATTCTTTCTTGAGTCACTTTTATTATGTTGTAATTGTAAGTGTCCATTTCTTTGGAAGACAACCGAGCTCTCCCTGCTCCCTCCCAACCTCTCCTCTTTTCAGACCAGTCCTGATCGTTCTTAGTTCACCTCACTCAGTGAAGAAGAGTGACAAGAGAGAAAGGAGTCTTCTTGTCTTGTAAAACAGCTTGTTTTTGTATATCTTTATTGAGGGTGGCTGTAGTTTCTAAACCAAAAATCACCATAAAAGAATATGCCAAAAATACAGAAAAAGTGACTTCCTAGAAATCTATCTCCCCAGAATAATCCCATGCATATGTATGGAAAGGTCTAATGATTCTTGGATGTAGAATCCTCCGAAGTACTGAGCACAGAGGTGCCCAAATGCTCTGATTTCCCAGCCCCTTAAGAGTTATTTTTTCATAGGGCCCCCGGGCGGAAAGAAATAGTAATTCTGTTTATGAAGCAGCTAAGGACAAACAAGTTAATATTTATGTTCTAGCAAGTTAGTAGTTGTTCAAAAAGAATGATACACATTAATTGAGAGAAAAAAGGATTTAAAAAAAAAATTTTTTTTTTTTTAACGTTTATTTATTTTTGAGACAGAGACAGAGCATGAACAGGGGAGGGGCAGAGAGAGAGGGAGACACAGAATCTGAAACAGGCTCCAGGCTCTGAGCTGTCAGCACAGAGCCCGACGCAGGGCTTGAACTCACGGACTGTGAGATCATGACCTGAGCCGAAGTCCAACGCTTAACCGACCAAGCCACCCAGGCGCCCCGAGAAAAAAGGATTTTTAGTGAATTCGTAAATAATCAAGCTTAGTGTTAGGTTGTATGGTCCTGTTGGGCACTGTACATGCTTGTCAAACCTTGGAGTCTTACTGAAAACTGCCACCTTCGTTTCCTCTGACACATTGATTGTGTCACTGATTTGCACAGTATTGGCTTTTTGTCATGGCAGCAACCAAGGCCTAGCTTTGGGAAGGCACAACGTTATTGAAAGGAATATAGTCCAGTTGCCTCAAACTCCACTGCCCCAAGCTGGTAGTTTGCACGGTGTCCAACCGGTGGTGCCGTGTTTCCCTTGAAATTTGAAAATCTTCCACAGTGCCCAGTGACTTGGCTGCAGCACCCTGGGTTATCTCTGTGCAGGGAACCTCAGATCTACTTTATCCAGGAAGAAAAGTTAGTACCGAGAAAGTATAATTTTAACCATATAATGAAATTGGAAAGTCAAGGTCAGATGGTTAAAAGAACACTCCCCCCTGCCCCAGTATGTTTATGTAATTCAAGAAATTTCACAAAATAGAAATAAGCAGAAATAGAAACTCTAAGAGTAAAGGAATCCAGTCAAGCCCCAAACTGTCTAACTATTAATGACAGATCCTCACTCTGTCTGCTTCCTGGACGAGGGCTCAGATAGACGCATGAAGAGCATTCGAGTGGCAAACAAGGCTTTGATTGCAGGAGATGAAGTCAGGGCTGACTTGATCCAGATCCAGGGATCTGATCTCTAAGTCCACGGCCTTGGACAAATGCTTGCCAAGGGATGAGGCCTTTCCTGAACTCCCTCCCAGCCCCTGGAGCCTCACTTGGAAGAATGCTGTTCAACTTGCACACATTATCCCTTGCCATAATGGGAGGTTGTTTTCTCAGTGTTTTTATCTGAACGATTAGCCTCAGTGTGGAGGAACAGCACAGAGTAACAGAGGCCCCGGGCGGCTTTCTTTCTCCACCCCTCCCCCCACCACGTTTCTGCTCTGCCTTATTTTCTGTCTCCTCCCCTTCCCTCTCCAATCCCCTTACCGCTCCTCCCATCCCCTCCTCCTCTTTCTCCACAGATTCTCTTTCCCTCTTTTTCCTCCCTCTGCATGTCCTCTGTCTCCCTTTCTCTTACGCGTGGACTTGCCCACACACATGCACACTCACCCCATACACATGCACTTTTTAAGGCAGATAGAGTTTTCCTCTTCGTCTGATATTCATAAATCCCTCTGGTGATTGGGATTCAGGTCTTCAAGTTCTGGATTCCTGGGTGAGATCTACTGTGCCTTTCATTTGTTTAAAAAAGTTTTTATTTAAATTAATAAATTAAATTTAATTAAAAATTAAATTAATTTCAAGTATACAATTTAGTGATTCAACACTTCCATCCAACACCTGGTGCTCATCACAAGTGCCCTCCTTAATCCCCATCACATCACCTATTTCCCCCATTCCCCCCTCCCCCCTGGTAACCATCAGTTTGTTCTCTTAAGAGTCTGTTTCTTGGTTTGTCTCTCTCTTTTTCTTCCCTTTGCTCGTTTGTTTTGTTTCTTAAATTCCACATATGAGTGAAATCATATGGTATTTGTCTTTCTCTGACTTATTTCTCTTAGCATTATACTCTCTAGATCCATCCACATTGTTGCAAATGGCAAGATTTCATTCTTTTTTATCTGTGCCTTTCATTTTGAAAGAAAGATGAAGAAAATCCTGACAAAATCCAACTGTTTAATCAATAAGAGGACGGTTTTTGGCTCCAAGGGTGACCTCTTGGTTACTTAATGGTAGTTAGAGAAAGTTGGAAAGTCTCGACCTCAAGTCTGAGGAGCAAAAGACTGACCAAAACGTCACAAGAAGAAGAAAACTACTAATGAAGCTCAGGTGGTAACAGAAGCTTGTTAAATGGGTTTGTGGAATTTTTCTAGATTCCTACAAGGCCCTGTCAGCTGAGCTCAGGGTACATTTGATGTGAGCCACTTATTCTCCTTCTAAACATCTTTCTGATTGTTCATGACTTCTCACATTGATGTGTTGTTTGTGAAATTTACAGTCAGGAGGCGCACGCTGTCTTGCTTCCTTGATGAAAAGCTTTTCCTAATAATTGGCAAGCTTGGGAGCAGGGGCAGCACCTTCGCTTTGCTGAGGAGACGCCTGCCATGCATGCCTCGTGCCCTCCTTGCATCCCCGATAGCATCATCGCCCTTCACTTCTTTAACTTTCCTTTGCAGTTGACTGAAACCTCCTCCCGTTACGCCAGGAAGATCTCCGGCACCACTGCCCTCCAGGAGGCCCTGAAGGAGAAGCAGCAGCACATTGAGCAGCTGCTGGCTGAACGGGATCTAGAGAGGGCGGAGGTGGCCAAGGCCACGAGCCACGTGGGGGAAATAGAGCAGGAGCTAGCTCTGGCCCGGGACGGACACGACCAGGTGAAGTCTGGTGCTGACCTTGTTTCGGAGATGGTGATGGGTTCTAAGCTGATCTTGTGGAGATGGTGGAGCTTTCTAAGTTGAGGGAGGAGGCTGAGCAGCGTACCTCGTGCTTGGAGCCAGGGAGCTAGTCTTGGGAGCACTGGAAATGAGTAGAAATATCTTTGCTGGGCTTGTTTGAAGCTGTGACCTGGGGTACCACTTTGTATCGTCATAAAGATGCAGTTTTGTTCTTCTTGAGTCTACCGTAGTCCTTCGGTCTTTACATCCAGGCCTCTTGGCCTGTGTCAGGGGAACTTGTTTACTGGGACCTTACCAACGATTGCAACTCCTGTTTTGTAGATGACCTTCTGTATGCGTTTCAGCCGTAAAAAAGATGAGCGTTGTTGTACCATTGCCCTCTTTTGCTTTAATGGTGTGGTTTTTCATCATCTAGCTTCCAGGAATGCGGCCGAGAAGTAACCTATTAAAGATTATAGAAAGCATTTCACTGTGAAAAGGTTTTAGAGTCATACCCGCCCACAATGGTACCACTTAGCTGTAGCTCTTTGGAGGCATCCCTGGGCCTGTGTCTGGGTCCGAGGGAGGCCACTCACTGACACCCTTGTCTTTCTCAGCATGTCCTGGAATTGGAGGCCAAGATGGACCAGCTGCGAACGATGGTGGAGGCTGCTGACAGGGAGAAGGTGGAGCTTCTCAACCAACTTGAAGAGGAGAAAAGGTGACCTCAAACTGTTCCTTACTGCAAGTGTGGCCTTTTCCTTCTAAATGACCTTAGGAAAACATTCTTATTAAGGTGTCAAGCCCTAGAACCAAAGGAGTGACTGTGTGTTCGGTAGAAAGTCAACTCTTCATCTTGTGCCGGGAGGGTTTGCTTTGATTTGACTTTTTTTTGAGAAGTTTGGAATTATCTAGACATGGCCTGCTAAATTTAACAGCTGCTTATTGAGCACCTGCTGTGTGCCAAACATCCTCTTGAGGTTGGCCTTAGTGTCGTGAAGTCGATTCAAACCCTGCTTCCACCTGGAACCGTTTTTGGTGAGAAGACATTTTGGGTCCATGTTACCTAGTATGTATGTATTTTAAACGTTTGTTTATTTTTGAGAGAGAGAGCGTGTGAGCGAGCATGAATGGGGGAGGGGTAGAGAGAGGTGGGGATAGAGGATCTGAAGTGGGCTCCACACTGACAACGGTGAGCGCAATGCGGGTGTTGAACCCACGAACAAGATCATAACCTGAGCTGAAGTCAGACTGTCAACCGACTGAGCCACCCAGGCGTCCCCAAAGTGACCAAGTATTTATGAAACACCTGTGTATCTAAATAAAACTCTTCCGTCTGGTAAGTGATACGAGGGCCGTGTCCTTGAGAAACTCAGTACCTTGTTAGGAAAACAGAACTTTCATGTGAAGCAATTAGAGGATTATCCAGGTCAGGATGGAATCAGGTGCTAAATGGTGTGAGACAGAGCAAGTTTGGTTCTCAGAGGCTTCTTGAGGCTGTGAACTAACACAGTCTCTGAACAAGGTGTCTGCATGGAAACCATTGGAACATTTCTGGACAACAGGACGTTTGTCCTGTCTTGCATTTAATGCCGCCATCTTGTCATTTCTGATGGTAGCAACTTAATTCAGTAGCCATCTGGTCTGTATGTTTAGGACCGTGAGAGGTACCACTGAGGTACGGGATACAGTGGAGGTATAATAGAGTCTCTTATCAAGGAAATTATCTTCTTACTAGAAGGAGAAGTGCTATATGTAGGAAATTTTCTTCACATCCTAAAAATGGCTATGAATAAATGAGATATAGTAATAGGCCTTTCTAGGCCCTTCTGAATACCAAGGCAACAGTACCATTTGCTTTGGTTCTTAAACCAGCTCTTGATCTGCTGACTGCTGGGCAGGACAAATGTCCTCCCACACTTCCAGTGAGATTGAGGGGTATAAATTATTTACAATTATATTTCTGATTTAAGAGTAGAATTTTTATTTAAAAAAAATTTTTTTTTAATGTTTATTTGAGAAGGAGAGTGCATATGTGAGCAGGGGCAGAGCAGAGAGAGAGAGAGAGAGGGCATCCTAAGCAGGCTCTGTACTGTTAGCGCAGAACCCGACATGGGGCTTGAACTCACAAACCATGAAATCGTGACCTGAGCCAAAATGAAGGGTCGGATGCTTAACTGACTGAGCCACCTAGGCGCCCTGATGTTTTTATTCTTAATTTTGCCAGAAAGGCTAGTGAGTTTGACAGTTTTGGTTTTTGCACATAGGTTATGAACTTTGTCCCCTTTTCTTCCTTACACTCACTTTTGTGAAGATTTGTAATATGGATGTTACCTGGATTTTGTCAATCTTCAGCTTGACTTGGTGATAGCATTGGTTGAGACCCACACCCAAATTAGAGATTTTAAAATGGGTGGGGGGAGGGGGGATGTGACTCAAATTGTTGATAATCTCATTCTCCCAGTCTTAGAACAGGTACTGGTATTGTCCTGGGGCTTTCTGTGTGGGTAGCCTGCTAACCTCACCATAAAATATCAGATGTAGGGTGGTATAAAGATAGATTTGTTTTCTTTTTTTTTCTGAAAGAGAGGGTGCAAGTGAGCGAGGGGCAGATAGAATCCCACAGGGTTAGGGAGAGAGAGAGAAGTGGGGTTCGCTTGGGACTCATGTTTTATCCAAAGTGGGGCTCGCGTTCACCCGAAGTGGGGCTGGTGCTCGCCCAAAGTGAGGGCTGGGGCTCATGCTCACCCAAAGCAGGGCTCACGGACTGTGAGATCATGACCTAAGCCAAAGTCAGGTGCTTAACGACCCAGGAGCCCCAAGAGAGATTTGTTTTCTATGCCACTTTTCCCTGTGTTCTGTTACTGTAAAGTAGAAATTACAGACTTGGAATCTCAAACCTATTCCTGTGGTAATCCGACCTTTTCCCTTTAGGCTGATCTTGTCTTGATTAGGTTCATTCTGGTGGTTGTGACAGAAGAAAACCAGTGGATTTTTCTCAACTCTTAACTCATGTCTCCTGGAATCAGTATCTGGCTAAAACTTTGAAGTTTCCTAAATAGCAAAGAGCTGTTAGATTTATAAACGAGGTGCCTAAAAATGTATTTTCTTTTCTTCCACTATCATCTGTTACATTCACCAGGGTATTGATTATAGATTGTTTTGGTAAGGCAAATATATTCCTTGGTTACCTGAAGTGCTTTGTTTTGATTTTGTTCCACAGGAAGGTTGAGGACCTTCAGTTCCGAGTTGAGGAAGAATCCATCACAAAAGGCGATCTTGAGGTAAAAGCCCTCCAGCTCTCTACAGCTCTTCTGGGTACCAGTATTGACAAGTACGGATGGGATGATCCTGCCGGGACAGGCGGCAGAGGGAAGGGAAGGAGCCCGGGGCTCTGGCCGGCTGGGCTATGGGCCTAGCTTACGGCTCAGGTGCCAGCACCTGTCCTGGTCCTGTGACGGTGCTGTCCCAACTCCAGTGGCCCAGTCAGATTTTTACTACTCTTTCCTCGTGCTTCAAAATCCAAAATCTTGAATTGGAGTTTATCAAGTCATAAATCTGGCAGTGTGTCCAAGTGAGATTCTAGATATTCCTCTCACGGTCAGAAATGGCATTTTAAAAAGCATGTTTAACCTCATCATAATAGAGCAAAACAAGTTTTTTGCTTTATCTCAGCTTTGCTTTTCAACTGGGCAGAATAAATTTTTCATAACCCTGTAAAAGGAATAAATGCATGTTTTAGTTGTTTTTGTGAAGTAATTACAAGAGGATAAAACAAGATCAAATTGTATTTCAGCCTCTTTGACTTCCATGGCATATTTTAATTCGCAGAGATTTCCTTTAGCATCAAGTTTCTCGTCTTTTAACAATTATTCATATCAGTTTTTTTTAATTAGATGCCAGAACTAAATGATTTTGATGCTCTTTAAAAACCACTGCTAGATATATGACAGATACAAATTATTAAATTTTTCAAATTCTGCAGATTTCTGGTATTGAATTAATATTTTAGTAAAAATTGCACTTGCCTGTGCAGTTCTCAGAATATACATTTTTATTAAGGGTATACATTACATTTTGTTAAGAATATACATTACAAGTTAAGAGTCTGTTGATGGCCACACCATGCTTACGTTTCAGGGGCCCTTCCAAATAGGAACTGATTTCTTTGGCAGTTGTCTTTACAGTTGACAACAGAGAGCAAGGAAAACATTTTCTGAGTTGTAGGCCCAGAATTTAATGGATTATTAATAATTCAATAGTCACCTTCTTTACTCATTTCATATATAGTCACATTCCTTTAGTTGACTTTCGTGTTGTTTCCATCCATTTAAAAACACCCCAAAGTCTCATATCATCATCTTATTCATGGGGAACACAGCCCAGGGTTTGTTGGGGAGGTGCAAGTTAAAACCTTTCCATCAGCACTGAGTTAGTATAGTCTGTCTGATAAACTCACTTGAAATTAATCAGAGTTATATTGAAACCCTAACACGTATGGAAACTTCAGTGGAGTCTCTCCTTTTGTTGTTGCTTAATTTTTTTATTTTTTTACTGATAGCAAAAGAGCCAGATTTCTGAAGATCCTGAGAATGTAAGAGGGCACTTAACTGTGTGGAGATTTCCCTTGTTAACACAGATTGATGACAGATTAAAATGCTTATTGATATACTCAAATACTAACTGCGTAATCTGACCTGAAACATTGACCTTAATATTTCTGTGCATGTGGCTTTCACAGCAATTACGTTTGTATCCAGAAGAAATTGTATGTAATGACTAAGCTCTATAAATCTACGTATTTAATGCATAAGCAAGTGTTTGTTGATAAATTTTGCCAAAAAAAAAAAAGGATTTTATGTGGGTGCTTGGCCTTCTCTTAATTCATAACGTCTTCTAATTTTAATAGAATTATTCCAAAAGATGATAGCTGACAGAAACATAAAACATATTAGCTGGAGGGATTACAGAAATTTCTTCGGAAAGTTTGCCCCAGTGGTCTGATTTTATTCCAATGAGAGCAGAAGGGCATTCTGAGCGCCAGAACGGATTGCCTTTTTGTGAGCTCCCACTGTCGGCCAATGCCTGTCAGTGCAGGTGACAAGAAATTCAAGCGTCTGCTTGTTGCTGCAGTATTTTCCCTGATTGGTGACACTAGAGAGGAGCATTCTTCAGTGAAGATGCTATGTGCTTTAAATTTATTATTATTGAAATGAGATTTTTCTAGTAGCTGTGCTACCGGGCTTGAAGGTGTTTTTTTCTTCCTCCCTCTGATTAAAATCAAACACCCAACACAGATCTCACCTAAATGGCCTCGAAAGCACCCTGTGAGCTGTGCATCTGCCAGCTGGGAGGCCAGTTGAAAGAACCTAAACGCTTTTGGCTTTGTTTTACCACCATAAGGGAATAAAATCAAACCGAAGCTTTTTCTTCCTACCACCACCTGGCAGCTGAAATAGACAATTCAAGACCGAGCTTGTAAAAAAAGCCTGCGTTCTGAAGGTTTCCTTTTTGTGAAGCTACTTCAGTGATCTGGGTCTCTTCTGTCCTCCCAAAACAGGCTCCCGCTGCATCCGGTGTCAGTCTGCATGGGACCTCCCTCCTGCCTTTCTTGTGTGCTTCTCGCAGAGCCTTTGCTTTCCCTCTCAGTCCCCGTCCCAGGACTTTCCTCTTGGGATGCTCTGTCTTCCTGGGAGAAAGGAATACTTTTAAAAGGAGGGCTGTCCTGTCCAGTGTAACGTTTTTACCGCACACCGTGGCACGGACGTGGATCTCTCGTTCCCCTGCTGCTGATTGCTCGCACACAGCTGTAGAGAGTCCAGCTGCTTTGTGTGCATACTGGCCAGCAAGGAGGTACAGCAGTCATCTGGAAGATCTCAGAGTGGGAAGGAGGTCACGCTGCAGTAGATGCTTGCTTTTTTATCTGGAATTAGTGACCTTTCACCCAGAGGACACTGAACTTGGAGTCAAGAGGTGAAGAAAGGTTCTGTTGCCTTTTGCTTTTTACTGTTAGTTTTACTGTTCGGTTCTTGAGGCTGTGACCCCAATTACATAGATCTGGATTAGATTTGTTTTTTCTTGTAAAAGCAGGTAAATTGAACAACTTCTGTCTGAGGCACATGTGGACCAAGGGGACTATCCAGACAGTTAGGTTTTGAATTTTTTTTTCCATTATTTTTGTTGAGTGTAAAGAGCTGAAGCAGATGGAGAAATTAAAAAGTTTTTTTTGTTCACCTTTTGAATATTCCATGATGGTTTATACATGGTTCACAAGCAACGTGACCTTTGGAATGTGTTGAAATCCCTAGAGAACCATTGGAGTTAGTAAGGATGTTTTCAACATAAAATATCCTACCTTCTACTTAAGCTCTGCATTACTTTCTGTTACTTTATTTAGAGTGTGTTGTCATTTTCTCATTGCCTGTAATTGTCCAGACATAGATCTGACCAGTTAGAACCACAAAATACTACAATTAATATAAGTAGTTAGAAGCTGCTGGGAGCAGCTCTATCAGTAGGTTTTATCAATCAGTTGACTATGCTGGTAACCTCTTGAGTGGACAGGTGAGTGGGGAAAGAGGTACATTCAGACTGATACCTAGATTATTTCAAATTGATTAAGTCTCTGTCTGCTGTTAGAAAGAGATTGCTTTCTGGGTTCTCCATCAGGTAATGTCTAAGTAAGTGATGATGGGGAGTCTCTGGAGTTTCGAAACACATTAGGATCTGACCAGCTCCTTTTGCATGGAGCTCAAATGAATACCTTTGTGCTGAACCACCGTTTCTCACTTCTGAGCTGGTAACTACTTCATCCTAGGATCAAGAAAATGAGCCCTTTATCAGCTCTAAACTTCTCTCCTGATCTGAGTCTCAGGGATGTAGCATAATTATTACTGAACTTTACCCTCGTAAATATGATCTCCTCGTTTTTTCCCTGGTGACAAAATAGTTTCTGATTTTTTTTTTTAACGTTTATTCATTTTTGAGACAGAGACAGAGCATGAACGGGGGAGGGGCAGAGAGAGAGGGAGACACAGAATCGGAAGCAGGCTCCAGACTCTGAGCCATCAGCCCAGAGCCCGACGCGGGGCTCAAACTCACGGACCGTGAGATCGTGACCTGAGCTGAAGTCGGATGCGCAACCTACTGAGCCACCCAGGCGCCCCGGTTTTTGGAAAACCCACTGTTGGAAGGAAACTAGGGAATTAGGAAATGTTGCTAAAAACGTCAGTCCCGTTTCGCTCATCTCCACAAAGGCCACCGGTGTGATTTTCTCAGCTCTGGTTTCTAGATTCCCTTCATTAGGTTTAACTCTCCACACTTGTTCACATCAAATTCCATGCCAGAGTGCTAGGATCTGCTCTAGGGACTTACTGAACTCTTATAAGATTTATGACATGTTTTGCATATTTAGGGGATTAACAAGTGATCATTTTGAGGGTCAATTCACTTTTCAAAGTCACCGAGTCAGTTACATACACATTGATGTCAAATAGCTGTTGTGGGGAGGAGGGAAAACGATAGTTTAGAGGAATATTAACTATTCTAATTTGTGCTGATAAACTTCACTTATCAATATAACTTATATTTGGCTGCATGCATCTGACACTTTTCATCTTGCCTCATATGTTTTCATTTGTTTTCTTTCTCAGTAGACTAGCTTGTGTCCCCTGCCCACCTCATCCTTTTGTCCGTAGCGTTCATCCTCACCCCCAGCCTCCCCATCTCAGTCCATCCTCTGCCCTTCTCCATTCCCCTTTTTGTTCATCCTTCGGCGGAAGGTACTGGTGGCTCAGCCTGCATGCCGCTGTCTCTCCTCTTGTGCTGGCATGTCATGGTGGCACTGTTGTGTTCTCTTCCTCTTCCTTTTTACTAACAGACGCAGACCAAACTGGAGCATGCCCGCATTAAGGAGCTTGAACAGAGCCTGCTCTTTGAAAAGACCAAAGCTGACAAACTGCAGAGGGAGTTAGAAGACACTAGGGTAATGGTTTTCACTGTTTAATGAAGCAGATCCATATATGTGAATGGTGATGCCTCGGGGGACGTGCCTTGCAGTTGGCCTAAGCCAACCCAGTGGTTCCACCTGAGTTTGGTCTTCGTGCCGTTCAGGTGTTTGTGAGCTTAGGCTGATGGTTAGACACAGGTGTTTCATGTCGAATCCTACGTCAAAGGTAAAGACTCATACCTTTGGTTAACTCAGCCAAAATCAAGATCAGAAACAATACAACTGTATAGACTGCATGGACGTCCACAACCACATTTGAGGCTTTTTGTATTACTACCTTGAAATATGTTTCTCCAGTTTGCCACGAGCAGTCAATTGTCCTCTTGTTCTCATATTCCCAGTGACAGGGTTTTCTGAATAATTTTTTGCTATTGTTGTTTTACTTTCCCTCTCTTTTTTCCTGCCTTCTTCCCTGGCCTTTTGGGGGAATTGAAACGCTGGCTCTTTTGAATGAGAGTTAAGGACTTTGATCCCATTGGCCTTTTTTTCTTGATAGCTGGTATGTCTTGTATTTCCCTCCTTTCTGTCACCAGTCGGTGAAAATCTCAGCAAGCAGGAGGGAAAAGTGTGCTGGGACCAGCATGGCTTCCTACAACTCCAGCTCACTGTCTTTGGCCCTCCGAGCCAATGCGTTAGTCATGTTTTCATTTATTTACGTATTAAAGCACTTATATAGTGCTTACTCGGGGCTGGGCACTATTCTGAACACTGCACCAGTATTCACTTACTTGGTCTCACCTCAATCCCAGGGGAAGTGGTAGTATTGTCACCATTTTACAGATGAGGATACCGAGAGATGGAGAGATTAAATAATTTGCCCAAGGTTACACAGCTAACAGTAATAGTGGAGCCAGGATTTGTATCTAGAGCAATGGTCCCCAAAGTCTGTGCTCTTGACCACCATAGGATGGAGGCAGTTTTGTGCTGAAATATTTAAGAAATAATCCAATACCTTTACATATAAGAGGACATGTGTACACACACACACACACACACACACACCCCTTTTAAATCACGAATTTGACTGTCAATGGCTAAATTGTCCAGATTGTTAACTTTAAAATTTCAAAAATCACTGTCTCTGATCAAATTTGGCATGATTTTTTCTTTTGAATTATTAGCACTTGAGGAAATTTCCTTTGCTGAGAAATCATTGATCTGAAAATCTAGATAATTGAATGATTTTTCTTCTCTAAATCATAAGTTTTTGTTTCTTAAGAAGAAAGAAAATGTTCTCAGTTGGCCTCAAGAGTAAAGGTACTGCCTGTGTATTTGGTAAGAAAAAAGTCCTGGTAGTTTGGTGCTGTTTCTTTGTTACCTGAGAGCCAAAGATTTGATCTGGGAAATACAAGGGACTGATGATAACATTGGGCTCCTTTAGTGAGAATGGCTGTTGAAGGAAGGATATATATGTATATGCACATGTATATACATATGTATGTATGTGTATGTATGTATGTGTGTGTGTGTATATATATATATATATATACATATATATGATATATATATATATTTTTTAGCCCATGAATTCTTCCCATGTAGATAAGTTAGTAAACAACTTGGGTGGATTTTTGTTTTGTTTTTGTTTTTGCTGTCGATAAGAAGGTATCCATTACGGCATGGTTTATCCAATTATCTCAGGTTTAACCTATTTTCTTTCTGTAACAAGTCATGTCTTCTATTGATCCTCACTCTTGCTTGGCCAAGTGTGAAGCCAACCAGTGAGCCTCTTGAATTTCTTATCACCTACCTTCCTTTTAGGAAGTGCTTTAGAATTCCTAAAAGCCAGTAAGGCCAGTTTATAAGCAAGCTTCTGGAGACAGAAGCAAGACTCGGAAACGATACCTGACTTTTATGGCCTGACCCTGGTGGAAGAGGCAGACACGTGGTTTCGCCCGAGGGCAGACTTAGGGAAATAAAATGAAAAACAGAAGTGCTGTGAAAATGCTACAAGATAATCACACTATTATTTTGACTTATTTTTTTACTTGATATTTCCTCAGTTTGCTTTATAGTGACTAATTACAGATTCTTATCCTATTGGATTTAATTTATGTTCCTGACCTTGAAGCACTGGGGTTTATCAATGTTTTGTACCTTATTTTGTGGCAACAAACTCTCGGGCACCCTGCCCCAGAAAAAAGTATATAAATAAATTAACCTCTTGAAGATGGAGCATCTATAACCCTGAAGCATAACACTTACAATCAGCTTTGGAATAGTTACGGACTTCCTTATGCAGTTTTTTTGGAGACCCAGTTGTCTTCTTTTCCTAGTCTTGGTGGACATCTTAGTGTCTCTCCATATCACAGCCTGTAGGTGTGCAGAGAAAGTGAAGGAAACAACGGTGACTTTCTGTCCCACTAGAAGGCAGTGAGGGAGAAGAGCCTTCAACCTGGAGGAGTTTTAATCCTTAAAATTGATTTTTAAATCATTCATGTTCCCTTCTTTTTCCCAGGTTAGTCCAATAATTCATTTTTCTGCCCAAAGGTATCATTTCCCACATATTTTGTGTGTTACTCTGACTGGCTAACAGGTATCAGAGAGAATTAATTTCCTAAGAGTAAAAGGACACAGTTTAAGAAAGTGTTTTTCATAGTCCTGGGGAGTTTGTTTAAAAACAGATTCTTGGGTGCTATCCCAGAGCTAAATAGAATCAAAACATGGGAAAGTACTGGGACATACATATATATGCCTTTTAGACATATATCCCAGGAGATTGATTTGCATACTAAAATCTAAGAACCACTGGGTTAGGGGAACAAGATATGTACATTAAAATGCCAATAGAATTATAAAATCTAAAAAGTGTAATCTCTAAAGATTCTTGTGTATAATTGCAGGTAAGTAGTAGTTCTCATTTTGTCTTCCTAAAAAACAGGTTAATGAATTATTTCTTCATTATCCAGGTGAAGCTTTTATTCTAAAGTTGATGTGGTATTAATTGAAACATTTGATAGGTAATTTCACACATTTTTATACCAATCATAGCCGACAGAAGTATAATACTAACCATATATATGTAATTGAAAATTCTGTGCTTCCCACACGAACATACTTTTTTAGTAGATAAAAAGAAAAAGAAAATGAGTAATATATTTTATTTAAACTGGTATATCCAAAGTAATATCATCTCATTATGTAATCAGTCTAAAAATTATTAACAAGGTGTTTTCTGTTCTTTTTTTTCCCCTGAGTCTTCAAAATCTGTGTATTTCACACGGCCAGCACCTGTCACATTTCAAGTGCTCAGTAGCCCCGTGTGCTACTATACCGGACAGCACAGAGCTTTAAAATCAGCTGCATCAGGTAGATGAGCATTTACACATCCTGGGTGAAGCAGAGTAGGGAAAAAACAGGTAAAATGAGGAGGATTCTTTCTTCCAGCAGGCAGATAAAACAAGAAATTGGAAAGCTACTGTTTCCCTCAACTTACCTGTCAGATGATGGGCACTTCTCTAAAGTTTCTTTAGAGGAAAAAGAAATTGCTTGGAGCAAGTTAAATTCCATATCAGTTTTCAGTTGCTCGAGCATCTCAAGATGGTGGAAGTTTGCCCAAGATGATGACTTACTTTGGAGCTCTCAGAACTGGGCTTCCTCTGTGATGGCAGCTAGAGGTGGGTGAGCACGAGGGCTCGCTGTAGCTCACCGCTGCCTGAGGTGGGGAGTTATTAAAGAGCTTCAAGGTTAAAGGAAATTACCAGTGATGGGTTATTGACATGCTTTGTTTCTCTTTGGGCTGCGGTTACTAGGTGGCTACAGTGTCAGAAAAGTCCCGTATAATGGAGCTAGAAAAAGAGCTAGCACTGAAAGTGCAGGAGGTGGCTGAGCTGCGGAGGAGACTGGAGTCCCAGAAGCCCACTGGGGACGTTGACATGTCGCTCTCCCTTTTGCAAGAGATAAGCTCTTTGCAAGAAAAATCAGAAGCTGCCCATGCTGACCACCAGAGAGAAATCACTTCCCTGAAGGAGCATTTTGGAGCCCGTGAAGAGACACATCAGAAGGAGATGAAGGCTCTTCAGGCTGCCACAGAGAAGCTTTCCAAGGAGAACGAGTCCCTGAAAAGTAAGCTCGATCATGCCAACAAGGAGAATTCCGACGTGATAGTCCTGTGGAAGTCCAAGCTGGAGACGGCCATCGCGTCGCACCAGCAGGCGATGGAGGAGCTAAAGGTGTCCTTCAGCAAAGGGGTCGGAACGGAGACAGCAGAGTTTGCGGAGTTAAAAACACAGGTGGAGAAGATGCGACTAGATTACCAGCACGAAATAGAAAATCTGCAGAATAAACAAGACTCTGAAAGGTCTGCTCACGCCAAAGAGATAGAAGCCCTAAGGGCTAAGCTGATGGCGGTCATTAAAGAGAAGGAGAGCAGCCTAGAAGCCATCAAGGCGAAACTGGATGAAGCAGAAGACCAGCATCTAGTAGAAATGGAGGACACCTTCAACAAATTGCAGGAAGCTGAAATAAAGGTAAAGGAGCTAGAGGTCCTACAAGCCAAATGCAGTGAACAAACCAAGGTTATTGGTAATTTTACATCACAGCTCAAGGCTGCCGAAGAAAAGCTCTCGGATCTTGATGCGCTTCGGAAAGCCAGTTCCGAAGGTAAATCGGAAATCGAGAAACTTAGACAGCAGCTTGAGGCAGCTGAGAAACAGATTACAAATTTAGAGATTGAAAAGAATACTGAAAGTGGCAAGGTTCGTATTGGCGTCCTCCATCCTTTAAGTTTCCATCTATCCGTCCCGCTTTGCATTGTGTGTTACTTTTGAGTGGAGCTCGTTCACCTTCCAAATTCCCGATTCTATTATATAGCACATTGCTTTGTGCCGGCAAATTTCCCGCTGCGTGTAGCATCCCCTGAGTATCTTGAGTGTGGTTTCTTCCGAGGAGATTAGAGAAAACACTGGCTCAACTATGTGAGTTTATTTTGGTTTCCTGTTATCTGGAAACTTTAGACTTTGTCTCTGGGCCAGGCTGTACGCTTTCCTGTTGAAGCTTGGTTCTGGTCTGTCATCTTTTTAAAACAGAGAATTCCCTAAGGTGATGGTGTTAAGATAAATAAATGGAGAGGAAAGAAATTTAAAAGATTACCTCCTCCCTTGCCATTTACGTAATTGTCTTGTCCATAAGGTAATATATAAAAACAGACTGTGGACCTTCAGGCTTGAGTTTGACTAATGGAAATTAACACTCTATGATAAGTAATACTCACAGCAAAATAAGGTTAAGAGCCTGGAGCCCTGGGCATCGCTACTTCTTTCTCCTTGGAGCTTTTCCTATACCACAGTGAGATCATGTTCTATTCCCCACCTTTTTTTTTTTTTTTTTTAATTTTTAGAAGTTTATTTATTTTGAGAGGGAGACAGAATGAGTGGGGGAGGGGCAGAGAGAGGAGACAGAAAATTCCAAGTAGGCTCCCACTGCCAGTGCAAAGCCTGATGTGGGGCTCAAACCTACGAACCATGAGATCATGACCTGAGCCGCCGAAACCAGTAGTTGCAGGCCTAACCGAGCCGCCCAGGTGCCCCTGTTCCCTACCGTTTTGAGGAAAGATCTGACAAGTATGCTTTTGGTCAAGGTGCAGGAAATTATATGGAACGTTTGTCAGCTACATTCCTTTCTAATTAGCCTTTTCAAATATTCCCTTCATTTTTAAGAACCGTTTGAGGGATGGATGCTTTCCCAGCCCTCTTGCCACTAGCGGGAGTACTGGTACTGATGAGGAATGTTAAGAGCTTTTTGCGGGAGAAACTGCTTTGTTAGCAAAGGGTTGTAAAGTTAAACGGGGAGATGTGAAGACAGAAGGAAAAGTCACTAAGTAACTAACGTTAGTTGAAGATAACAAGCTAATTACAGGAAGTTTTTCTCAAATCTCCTCACTTGGATCCAAAATACCAATCAAAACACAAAAATGAATTAGTAGAGCAATATGAAGCTAACTAAGGGTTGGTCAACTTTTTTTACATCCAAATTTAATGAAAACCAATTTCTGATGACTGTTGTCCAGTGGATTTTAAAATTCTTTATTTTTTTAAGTGTTGAAATACTTTAAGCATATACAAAGATAGAAAATAACATAGATCACATGTATCCGTTATTCCTACTTTATGGATTTTAAAGTCCAGAAAATGAAATTGCTTAACTTACCCACTTAGAAAGTAAGTGTCTGTGCTTTCTGCTTTAGATCATGCTGATACTCCAAATTTTGGTATAGAAAAATACTTTGTTTTGACTGTTTTAAATAGCCATTAGATTGTGCTACCTAGAAACGGATTGTGTGAAAAGTCATTGGCTTCTTAGAGTTAACAACCACAAAAAAAGAAAAGCAGTAATTTTTTTACCCATGCCTTTATTCCTTTCGGTTTTGTTTGGTTGTGTTTGTTTCTTGTATGTTTTTTAGGTTTCTTTTATTTTTTCTTTCTCATTCATTCTTTTTTGTTTCCTTCTGTTCGTTTACTCCTGTGCCACGTCACTGTGTACGGTAGGCTAGTAACATTTCCAGGGAGCTTCAGGGGAAAGAGCTAACACTAAATAACCTTCAGAAAAACTTGAGTGAAGTCAGTCAAGTGAAAGAGGCTTTGGAGAAAGAACTTCAGATTTTGGTAAGTACCTGTTGGGAATCTGACTCTCAGGGTTTCTGGCCATTTGAATGGTTCCTGTTTTAAAAACAAAAATCTCTGTAAGGAAGTATTGTACCTGTTTCCTTCCTCTGTCAAAGTATTGATTGAAATTGAGTGTATTAGTCATTGGCTGATGACCTTGAAGGGAATGGGATCAAATCGACACTCGCAATAAAGGTAGGTATTACTTTTTCCTTTTTAAAATCTAGCCTTTGCTTCTGATAAATGGGTCGCTTTGGCATATTATTGACTGCTTAGTTTTGCTAAACACAGGGACCTTCCAAGTTACACACCCAACACGTTAACTTTCATTTATAATGAGGTCTTGACTGCTTTCTCGTACTTTGCAGAGAGCTGTTCCGGACCATTGGCATCCTCTGTTAGCAAGGCAGGGTGCTGTCTAAGTCTACGAATTCAAAGAATCATCTCTTACAACTCTGTTCATTCCACCCCAGGAAATTACATTTCTTTTCACATATATCCTCTTGCCTTAATCCCAAGTTGTGAGACATTTTTTTTCTTAACTTTTTCTTACCTTTTCTCAACTGTTCTCCTTACTTCCTGCATTAGAAACTGAACTTACAAGGCACCTGGGTGGCTCAGTTGCTTGGGCGTCAGACTTTTGATTTTGGCTCGGGTCATGATCTTGCAGTTCGTGATTTCGGGCCCTGCATCGGGCCCTGCACTGACAGTGTGGATTCTGCTTGGATTCTCTGTCTCCCTCTCTCTTTGCCCCTCCCCTGCTCTCACTCTGTCTCTCTCTCTCTAAATAAATAAATAAACAAACATAAAAAAAAACCAACAACCCTGAATTTAGTCAGGGCCAGTGACCATAAGCACACATCATGGAGAGTTGAAGGTTATGGAGAAACTGGGTAAGAGACACATGAGTCAGGAGGGGACAGTTGTCTTAGATCCTCCATATACCATCCTCTTCCCCACTTCCTACACTTCTTTGCTAATTCCAGGGGTGAATGAGTATTTGCTTTTTTTTTTTTTCAATGCCAATATTACAAACTACTTCTTCAAATGTTAAATATATAGCTGCACTGTTCATTTTGGTAGCTACTGTTCACATACGGCTATTTAAATGAATTAAAATTAAGTTCTTCGCTTGTACCAGCCACATAGGAAGTGCTTAATACCCACATGTGGCTAGTGGCTACCATATTGAACAGTGCAGTATAGAATATTTCCATCATGGAGGATAATTCTGTTGGACAGTTTTGATGTACAGTATTTTAGCTGCCTTTTTGAGAATAAATTGGCCTGGGAATGACAATTTTCTAATATGGTATCCTTTAAGAAAATGTGTTTTGAGTTTCATACCATTTCTCTGCCCTCTTCCCCAAGCTTTACTTTTTTTTGTAAGTTAGCATATCCCTCTAGGTACCCTGTAGAGAAAACTTGGCATCTAAATCTGGCTTTGGGAATAACACAGGTGGACAGTGTGTGGGCTTTGGTGGACTTGTGTGGTTCATGTACCCGTTTTTAAAATAATTCTAAATAGTTAGAAACACTCATTTAGAAATGTTGTTGGTGTATCTAGCTCAAAACTCATCTCAGGGAAACCAGGAGAGTGTTTTTATCTACTGTCATGTTTAGAAAAGAGTGGGTGAGCAATGGCCCTTTTTGGTTTTAGAAAGTTTTTTTTTTAAGTACATTTTATTTTGTTAAAAAATGTTGTTTAATGTTTTATTTATTTTTGAGACAGAGAGAGAGGCTGATCGTAAGTAGGGGAGACGCAGAGAGAGAGGGAGACAGAACCCAAAGCAGGCTCCAGGTTCTGAGCTGTCAGCACAGAGCCCAACGCGGGGCTCAAACTCACGAACTGCAAGATTTGACCAGAGCTGAAGTCAGATGCTTAACCGACTGAGCCACCCAGGTGCCCCCAGAATTAGTTGATATGGTTTCAAGATGTTAGGTTCTCATTACTCTCAGATATAAAACATTTCAGAATTCTGATCACTGTCTTAGCCAGATATCTGAAGAGAAGTTCTGCTAATTGAGGATGGCAACATGAAAAAAGCATTCACATGTACCACATGTACTTACGTGTGCACATTCACACATCTGTACAGATGTATGTGCACACCTAGGTATGCACACACATAGAAACCTCATTCACTTGTGTATGTACATGCACAGTATACATACGGTAGCACTTGGTGTCTACACGTTTTGAGTGTAAGCTCGTTTTGATGAAACAAAATCAGTCACAAAAAGTAGATAGTGTTGTAGTTATCACTGACTGAAGCTTTCTATTTCTGTAATTTGAAATCTTTCTCATCTGAATATCCAATTCTTTTTTTTTTTTTTAGAAAGAAAAGTTTGCTGATGCTTCAGAGGAGGCGGTCTCTGTTCAGAGAAGCATGCAAGGTATGTCTTATTAAAGTATGAGCAGATGGCTTTAGAGAATGTCACATTCTCACCCTGAAGATGGCGTCTGGGATACACAGAATAGATGCTCCTGTAGTCTGATGTCCCTCTTCTGGAAGCTCCTGCAGCCGGATTGCATTAGCTTCCTGAAGCCTCGAACTCCCATTAATTCTTTCTTCTTTTGACTTGAAGCTTATTGTATATTAAAATTAAACATACTTGGGAAAAGTATTATCTTAATCTTCAGGCATTGATAACTATTGAGTTTTAGCTGGAAGTAGGAAAGAGAAGCCTAGAAAGGGATGCGTGGTGTCTGCTTTTTTTTTTTTATTTATTTTTTAATTTTTTTTATTTTTTGAGAGAGCACGAGTTGGGTAGGGACAGAGAGGGAGACACAGAATCCGAAGCAGGCTCCAGGCTCTGAGCTGTCAGCACAGAGCCAGACACGGGGCTTGAACTCATGAACCACGAGATCATGACCTGAGCTGAAGTCAGACACTTAACCGACTGAGCCACCCAGGTGCCCCGCCTGGTGTCTGTTTAATCCACAGATGTGGGGAGGCAGGAAGAGACGCGTGCTTACTCCTGTAGGTCCATTATGCAGCAGTTTGATGTGTGGTGGGACTTTCTAGCATTTCTGTCCTCTCAAATCCCAAGCATATTATTTGATTTGGTTTAAGACAGCCAGCCTCTAGATGGCTTCTTAAGTATGGAATATGTTAAACTTTTAACTTTATCCTCCATAGAAACAGTAAATCAGTTACGTCAAAAAGAGGAACAGTTTAACGCGCTGTCTACCGAATTGGAGAAGTTGAGAGAAAATTTAACAGGTAAGATAGCTCTGGTTACTAAGCATTGGATATAGTAGGTTTCCTAGGATTTGTGGTAACCATAGTACATTACAATAACATTTACTCAGGGGTAACTTCTTCACTCAATAGTGTGATATAATGAGATCAAATACTTGAATACTTGTTTGAGGTCTATAAATTCCGCACATGCTCTCTGCCCTGTTTTCAAATAAGTCAGAATCCACCACGTGTCACCGTTCCTACCGCTGTCCTTGACTCAAGCCACCCATCATTTTTCACTTTAGCTGCTCTAACAGCTCACTGCCTGCTCAGCCTGCTTCTGCCCTGCCCACTTTGGTCCATTTGTAGCACCCCAACCAGAGCGGTCCTTCCACCATCAAGTCAGGTCGTGTCACTTTTCTGCTTGAGATCACTCGGTAGCTCCCCTCACATGCAGAGTAAAAACTGCAGTCCTTACCAATGCCAGGCCCTGTTACCTCTCTGATTACATCCCATAATCTGTAATCTCTCTGATTACATCCCGTAATCTGTAGTCTCTCCGATTATATCAAAAGGCCCGTAGTACCCTTCCCCTTGTTGATTCTACTTCAGCCATATTGTCCTCTGCATGGCAAGCATTTTTGTGCCTCAGGGCCTTTGCACTTGGTGTCCCTCAGCTCCTTCAGGTCTTTACTTAAATGTTACCATTCAGAGAGGCCCTGCCTGAGATTTTAACCTTCCCGACTCCTTCGTGGTTCCTTTCTCTACTTACATTTTTTTCCCTCTTGGCAATTAACCCTATTTTTATACTATTTATTTTCTTTCTTGATCTTGTTTATTGTCCGTTTTCTTGGCTAGAATATAATTTTCATGAGGGCAGGGATTGCTGTATGCAAATATTCCCAGAACAAGCCTCGGAATACAGGATGTAGTCAATAAATTTTTGTTGCCTGTAATGCTGTGGTGCAATTTGTTTTTCCTATGTATATTCAGATATGGAGACAAAATTCAGAGAGAGAGATGACAGAGAAGAGCAGTTGATAAAGGCAAAGGAAAAGTTGGAAAACGACATTGCAGAAATTATGAAAATGTCTGGAGATAATTCTTCTCAGCTGACAAAAATGAACGATGAGCTACGTCTGAAAGAAAGGTATGTACGAATGGTTATAGGGGCGCCCAATTTAGGTTGGCCTCTGAAGTAAGGGCTCGGAGGGAGCGGAGCCAGAATTCAGGGTGGTTCTGTTTTAAAGTTTCTTGTCTCTCTTCCTTCCTGTCATTACCCCGGTGTACCCTTCAGTCAACTACTGGACCGTCTAAGGAATACAGTATTGTGGACTTTTTAATGACTTGCAAAGAATTTTACCAAGGGCAGTGACATCTTTTACAGGCGCTTAACAATTTTTTAACCTGTTTCAGTGTCACGAAGGGTAGCCCTTATTACAGGCTTAGTAGGTATGTGCCCTGCACTGTGCTGGGTGTATTTTCTAATTCTTGTAACAATCCTGTGAGGTGAGTGTCTTACTCCCATTTTGAAGAGAAAGGAATTGAGGCTCAAGAAGGTGAAGTCACTCGCTTGTGTTCTGGCCCCAGAGAGCTCGCGGCTCTCGTCGCTGCGCTGTTCGTCCTCAGCGCTAGCTTCTTTTATCTTCACCTCTGCTGTTGTCTTTATTCTGAGGTTCTTGTTGCTTTGATTTTTCTTTCTTTTAATAGCTTCCATACAAAAAGCAAATGTCTTATAAGGCAAAAAGCCTTCAGAGGACATTTTAGGGCCAAGGAGTCTGAAAGCGTGACTAGTTGGCAGTTAGGTTTGCATCCACGGGCCGGCGTGGGGTGGCGGGGCAGGGGGCGACTGGGCCTTGGTTGGCCGCCTCGGGTCAGACCCGCTGTGAGGTGGGTGCATTTGCACAGGCGGTTGTGGCACGGTGCCCTCGAGGAGCTCCATCTCTGCAGGTGTCGGACAGGTGTAAAACCCAGAGGGACCGCCCGAGTTTCCCTCCTCCGTTCTCGGAGTCGTCTGATAGCCTGTTCTCCAGGTTTGTGTCTCACGTCTTTGTGTACATCTTTGTTGGACCACATTAGGATCTCGAAGCTAGTTCTTCAAGTTCTGAAGTGTCATTTTGTATGTTCTGTACTCAAGCGGCACTAGAATGAGTTTTTGATAATCTAGTCTGCTAAAATTTTGAAACTTAACTAAAATAACTCATTTCCTCATATATGTGTACTTTTCACTCATTTTTCCTTACTGATCTATTGACATAAAATGATAAACCTTCACAATTACAGTAGTTGTCGCTCCAAATAATGTATTTATAACTGTCACAATTGTTAAAATTATTCTTCAGGGCAAGTCAGGTTAATTTTTTGTTGTTTCAGACGTCATTAAGTTATTCACAACTTATAATCATTAATACGATTATTAATACTATCTTTCTAAGCATATCTTTGGAATTCAAAGCATTCTTTTGAAAGCTCTGACCCCTTGTATTGAAACTTGTTCTAGAACCGTAGAAGAATTACAGCTAAAGCTCACAAAGGCTAATGAAAATGCAAGCTTTCTGCAGAAGAATATTGGTGAAGTAACTCTCAAAGCGCAACAGTGCCAGCAGGAAGCAGCTAAAAAGCATGAGGAAGAAAAGCAAGAACTGCTGAGGAAATTGTCGGACCTGGTAAGGAGGCAATAAATGGGACTGTGTGTTGGCAGGAAGGTGAGGGGCAATGCAGATGTGGCTAGATGACTCTCTCCCTCATTCGGGCTCTCTGCAGGAGAAGAAGGTGGAAACGAGCCACAACCAGTGCCAGGATCTGAAAGCTAGGTACGAAGCAGCCAGTTCAGAGACGAAGGCGAAGCACGAAGAAACCCTGAAGAGCCTACAGGAGATGCTGCTGGACACAGAGGAGAGGCTGAAGGCCGCACAGGAGGAGAACAGTGGCTTGTTGCAGGAGATGGTGGAACTGAAAAAGCAAGCCGACAAGGCCAAAGTATGTTCTGGGAGATAGTTCAGTCGCTGTGTTGCGTCGAGGCTGCAGTGGGGCTTAGAGAGCGTCAGTGGATGGGACGGGGTACGCTGGCCTTTACAAATGCTGACCTCTGAGGGCTTGGCGGGATGGCGAATTACGTTTTCCTGGCTTCACGTGTTTTCTGCCAGCTGCTGGTCCTTCTCGGGGTGGCGGCCACAGTACAGGGCTTTCCCCTGAGTGTCCTGTGTAGCCATCAGCCCCCCACCCCATGCTGCTTGCTCCCTAGCTGTCACAGAGAGTCTCCTGTTGCCTGAGCTGTGTTTGCCTGCTTGCAATAGACTTTGTGTCGTGGCCTCTAATCTTGGCCATCTTGCTGCTGCCTTGCACTGGGGTTAGGAGGGACATCTTGCAGCAAAGCGAGAAGCAGAGGCCGCGTGAAACAAGTGAGCATTGGAGAAACAGAGCTCCTAAACGGCAGATTAGAAGTGAGGAGTCTAGAAAGGGCTTTTATATGTCCCTGGAAGGCACTCTGAGCTTAATTGATAAGGAAGCTGGATGCAGGGGCTGGGAGGAAACGTTCTGTTATTAAATAGAGTAGAATGTGATAACATTGAATTTCATTTTATGGTGTCAGGATCATATCTGCAACCCAGTATATTTTTGGACTCTGGTAGCTTAATGAAGTTCAACCATCCTTCTACTGTTTAACTTTTCCCTCCTACTATTTAACTTGCTCAAGGAAAAGTAAATACTTGTCTTCAATTACTTTTAGTGTTTATACAGGAGTTTAGTGAAAAGGAAATGTAAGAGAGCATACATAGGACTTCAAACAATTCCCACCTAAAACTTGTTAATTAAATTGGACCATGACATAATTTATGTTATATATAAGATGCCTCCATTTTCTCTCTCCTTCATGCTGGCCGTCAAGGATTTGTGTTCTCCCTGTTAAACAGCTCCAGTTTTACGAGTCATTTAACACCGGATATAATTTCCAGATTTTTTATCTTTATGGATCCCTTTATCTGGACAGACTCCAGGTTTTTTTTTTTTTTTAATGTTTGTTTATTTATTTATTTAGAGAGCTCCTGTGGGTGACAGTGGGGGAGAGGCAGAGAGAGAACCCCAAGCAAACTCTGCACTGTGAGTGCAGAGCCTGATGCTGGGCTTGAACTCAGGAACCGTGAGATCATGACCTGAGCCAAAATCCAGAATTGGATGCTTAACTGCCTGAGCCCCCCAGGCACCCCCAGACTCCACTTTTTTAGTGTTTCCCTTAAAAAAATGTTGCAGTTTGACGAAACCATGACATTCTAGAAGTTTCTGTTAAGTCTCATTAATTTTGCTTACTGGTGTTTTGTTTTTTATTTTTTACAAGGGTCATTTGGTTAAGATTGTTCCCCCTCCAAAGTTGTCTTGATATCCAGTTTCTGTGGATTTCAGTATTGGTCAGCAACAGTGGCTCACAGACCATTTTATGAATCTGATGAGCCCTTAAAGTATTCCCTTCCTAGAAAATTTATATGCTCAACACACTTTATATAAGATTTCAGGAGGTTCATGGAGCCCACAGAACTTCTGTGTTTCCTAGTTTAAGACTCAGTGATTTGTAGTCATGCTGTCCAATACACTAGCTACCAGCCACATTAATTTGAATTTTAGTTGTTCAATTTTAATAAATTACAAGTTTAGCTCCTTATTTGCACTCCCCACACTTCACGTGATCACCAACTATGCACATGACCAGTAGGCTACTATATTTGTGCAGATAACATTTAGACCATTGCAGAAAGTTCTGGACAGTGCTGGTATAGATAATGTGGTCAAGTCATTTTATAAACCAGTATATTAAAAAAAATTTTTTTTACGTTTGTTTATTTTTGAGAGAGACAGAGCATGAGCAGGGGAGGGACAGAGACAGAGACACAGAATCCGAAGCAGGCTTCAGGCTCTGAGCTGTCAGCACAGAGCCCGACACAGGGCCCGAACCCACGAGCTGCGAGATCATGACCTGAGCCGAAGTCGGATGCCTAGCTGACTGAGCCACCCAGGCACCCCTAAACCAGTATATTTTTTTAAACTCATTTTATTGGGCCGCATGGGTGGCTAAGTCGGTTAAGTGTCTGACTTTGGCTCAGGTCGTGATCTTGCGGTTTGTGAGTTCAAGCCCCACGTTGGGCTCTTTGCTGACAGATCAGAGCCTGGAGCCTGCCTTGGATTCTGTGTCTCCCTCTCTCTCTGCCCCTGCCCTGCTCATGTTCTGTCTCTCTCTTTTAAAAATACATAAAACATGAAAAAAAATTTTTTAATCATTTATTTCAGTCACCCAAACCTAGCAAATTGGTCTGTACTTTTAATTAGTTGTAATATTGGGATTAAATCAGCCAGGCCAGTGACTGTCCTTTGGTAAGCTGATGTCTTATAGTTAGTTTGAAAAGCAACAATTTACTTTCCCCCACCCTTCCCCTCCCCCGCTTTTGGTTAAAATATATTCACTTTTTGTAATTCTCTAGATTGTATTTTTAAAAATTCTTCTCTGAATTCTTCCTACAAGAGAAATAATTGGGAAGTTAGAAGGGCAGGAAAGAATTTCATGCCCTGATGTCAAAGTCAAACTAACCATTTTTATCTCGTAGGTACCACTCAGGGATGATTTCAAAAGTGTTTCAGAGATAAAATAAACCAGTAGATAGATCAGCACTTCACAAAGCTAAACCTGCCTTGTGTTATCCTTTAATGGGCTCTTTTCATCTAGTTCCCCACTTCCCCCCATCCCCTTGTTATCCAGGTAGTTTCTAGGACATTTATTGCAAAACATTTTAAGCTTGGGCGATTTAGGTTGCATTAAGCTATTTGGGCTCGCATTTGTCTGCTTGATTTCATTTTGTTTCCATTCTTTCCACCTTTTATTTCTGTAGTCGCTAACTTATTTGTTAACATCAGCCAAAAAAGAAATTGAACTAATGTCAGAAGAGCTGAGGGGTCTGAAATCAGAGAAGCAGCTTCTTGCACAGGAGGGAAATACTTTAAAGTTAGAAAAAGGTTCACTTTTATCAAAATTGGTAGAGGTGGAGGCCAAAATAACTTTACTTCAGGAAGATCAACAGAAACTGTGGTCGGTAAACGAAACTCTTAATTTAGAAAAGGAGAAAGTCTTAGAAGAAAAACAAGATGCTGAAAAGCTTTATCAACAGGAGCAGCTCCATAAAGAATCTTTAGCTGTTGAGAGAGAGAAATTACTACAAGAAATCAATATTGCGCAGGAAGAGCTTTTGAAGATCAGTATGGAAAATGACGCTTTGCAGGCTTCCAGAGCAAGCCTGCGGGCACTCACAGAAGAGCTCCAGCTCAGCAAAGATACTTTGATTGCTGAGTCTAAGAAGGATCAAGAAGAAAAAGGTCACCTAGAGGATCATATCAAGAAGCTCACTACTGAAAATCTTGCCTTGGCTAAAGATAAAGATGAAGTTATTCAAAAGCTGCAGAGCTCTTACGAAGAGCTAGTCAAAGATCAGAAAACCTTGGTGCAGGAGATTGAAGATCTCATGGCTGAGAAAAAGTCAGCTTTGGAGAAGCAGTCAGATCTTGATAGCGCGTGCATAGCCTTAAAGATGGAAAGAGAAAATCTTCTCCAGAACAACAAAGAGCTGCAGTTTGAGAAGGACGTGCTTCTTCAAGATCGGGAAAAGCTGAGTGCCAGCCTGGAGGCCGCCCTCCAGATCAAGCAGCTGCTCAGCACGGAAACCAGTGGGCTCCACACACAGCTAGACGATGCCAAGAGGGCTCTGAGGAAGGCTGAGCTGGACGTGAGGCAACTGCAGGCTACAAATAGCAGCCTCACAAAGCTCCTGGAAGAAATCAAGACCAGTCGGAAGATCACAGACTCCGAGTGCATCCAGCTTCTGCAAGAAAAAGGAGCCTTGGCTGCCTCTGAGAGAAAACTCTTGGCTGAAAAAGAAGAACTTGTAAGTGAGAACAGGCTCATTGCTGAAAAACTGAAGAAGTGCTCGGAAGAGGCCACCCATATGGAGATGAGCCTGAACGAGAAGATCACTTACCTAACTTCTGAGAAGGAGGTGGTATGTCAGAAAATTGCTAAGCTCAAAAAGCAGCATGTCAGTCTCTTGAAGGAAAAGTCTGTCCTGGAAATGCAAAATGGAGATTTGCTTGCAGAAAGAGAGAACTCCATGAAAACCATAGGAGACCTCAAAAAGAAATACGATCAAGAGTCTGAAAACAGAAGAATCGTAGTGCACGAGAAAATGAAACTCCTTGGTAATCTCGACACTCTGAAGAAGGAGCTTCAGGAGAGGAAAAGGGAAAACCAATTGCTAGCAGCCACCAAGTGCGATCTCTCTCTGATGCTGAAAGAGGCTCAGGATGCCAGACAGAGTTTAGAGAAAGAGCACACGAGCACCCTGCAAGCAAAGGAGAGTCTGAATGCTGAACTTCAGACTTGCTGTTCTGAAAAGAGCATCTTGCTGCGGGATGGGTTGAATCTGCAAGAAGAGTGTCAGAGATTAAACAAGGAGATCCAAACAATTCAGCAGTCCTTCCTCCTGGAAAAAGAAGCCAGAGCGCAGGAAACTGAGTCATCCCTGTATGAAAACAATAAACTTCATGGCAGGTTGGTCCTCCTGGAGCAGGAGCTGGAAGAGTTAAGAGCACACACTAAGCAGCTTCAGTCTGAAAATTTTGTGCTCGTCCAAGAGAAGACCAAGTCAGAGCAGAGAGTGGTGCAGATAATTAAGGAAAAGGAACTCTTGAGCGCAGAAACGGCTCGACTCGCTGCCAACATAGAGACTCTGAAGAAAGATTTCGCCACCTTGTCCAAATCCAAGTTAGAGCTGCAGGAACTGCACAGCTACCTCACCAAGATCCTGGATGACCTCCAGCTGAAGCACGAGACGACCCTGGCCGATCGCGCCAAGGTGGTGCAGGACAACAAGAACCTCCTGGCCGAGAAGAGAGACATGATACTGACCAAGGAGGAGCTCCTAAAGGAGAAGGAAAAGCTGGCGGAAAGCTACTTCATCCTTCAGAAAGAGATTAGCCAGTTGGCCAAAACCAACAGCCATATCTCAGCCAACCTCCTAGAATCTCAAAATGAAAACCGTATTTTAAGGAAAGACAAGAGCAAGCTCACCCTTAAAGTTAGAGAGCTCGAGACTCTTCAGTCATTTACGGTAAAGTGGGAGGGTCAGGGACCAGCACCTGGACTACTAATACTGTGCACTAACTTCTAGCGGCCTCCTGGAGAGGATAGGCACCCCACTGAATCCACTGCTCCTATGTTACCACCTGAAGGGGCCACTCATTACTAAATCTCTAATCGCAGTTGTTTCCGTTAGAAAGAGGTGTGAACTGTGAATAAAAAGGATATCTTTTTTAATTTAAGGAGAAATTTACCAGAAAAAGTCAACTGTGGTTCTGAAAGGATTAAGAACAGTAGAAAAATGGGCACATATTGAAACATAGTATCTTCTGTTTGGCTTTTAACTGTTTTGTTGTGTCTGTCCTTCTGGACTTGGAACCCGCCAGTGAAATCTCCATGGCTGGCGGTCGGGAAGATACACTGCAGAATTCCTGGAAGCTTTATTAGACCACGTGAAATTGTAAGCAAGTGCCTTAAACATCTTTTCATTTATTTTTTATGAAAAACAAAAAATAAACAAAAACATTGTTTTTAATGATTGTTTTCATATCTTAGCTAAGGATTTGTCTCCATATGCCTATTATCTTTTTTATTCACAGCCATGTTTATATTCATTACCCACAGCTTCTCTCAGAGACCTTTCCATTTAATCCTTCTCATTAAACACTTGAGCCTTGTGTTAATAACTGCCCAAATAATTTTTATTTTTCATTGAGAAATTCCCCACCTAAATTACAAGTGATTTCAAAAGCCCCACATCTGAAATAGCAAGAATAGTGTTTCAAACACACAGCAGTAAATATGATTAAGAGAAAATTCAGCTACGTGAGGATGTTGGTCTTTACTCTCCCTGAATGTTTCTCTCCGACATCGGTCAGAATGATGAGTGTGACTGTCAGCATAACTTGGGAGCTTGGAAGATGTAGGTTGGAATGGTCTGAAAATCTGCCAGTTGCATATCGCAGTTGGCTTGTTTGAAGAATGGCATGAAAAGGGTCTGTGGCTTTGTTCCCCTTCGGAGTAAAGACCTTTCGTGTCTCGGTCTGTTTGTTTCGGCATTGGATTGGTGACTGGGCCTTAACCACACGAGACAGCGAGGGCTGCCTGAGCATCCCTGATGGGGTCGGGGGTGACCTCATTTCTCACAGTATTTTCTTGTATTTAGGCTGCTCAAACAGCAGAAGATGCCATGCAGATAATGGAACAGATGACCAAAGAGAAGAGTGAAACTCTGGCCTCCTTGGAGGATACCAAGCAAACAAACGAAAAACTACAGAATGAAGTAATCAGATTTAAATGGCTTTTTGTACAAAGGACAGCTTACCGACTTCATGGAATATTTGATCACTAACTCAGGATTGTTTATTTTTTGAAGTGTGGCCTCACACAGGTTTGATCTGTTAGCGGAGTCGAATGTACACCAGAGCCATGATAATATTAAATAAAGTGTAATCCTTCATTACTTATTTAGTAGGATCAGCCTTTGAAATAATGAGGGGAAAACCTGAATAGTGTGGCTTTTTTATGATAACTTCAATGACGGAACTGAAGAGAGAGGTACTCCTAATATTCTCTAGTTTTGTGTCTTTTATCTTAAATCACATACATTTTTTTTTTTTATTTTCACTCTCTCCCAACTTGAGCCACCAAATTCCATTCCTCGGCCCCAAGTTTGGCGTAGGCCTTTTCTTGGTGTCATTCAGTCCTGATTCCCTTTTGTGTCATCTCCAGGCAGCCACTTCTGCGTCTCAGATTTGTGGTTTCAAGATCACTTTTATTCTGTTGAAAGTAGCATTTCTCATTCTTGGACCTATTTTTGATTCCCTTCCTCCCCATTCCCAGTTCATATCAGCCCCTTCTTTGGGAAGCAGTTACCTCTTGGTCCTAAACAGATTGATTCTCCAAAATAGTTAGGTGAAGTTCTGCCTGGCTTCAGATGTTTTTCAAAGGGATAGTCAGGTGAGACGTGAAGGAATTAAGCAGGGGAAGAGCTGGCCACATTGAATAGCTGCTCTGTAAAGCATAGGCCTTCTCACTATGGAGGTTCAAAGATGGAAATCTGTCAAGGCATGCACGTTTTAAGATACAGGGTAAATAAAACTACACACCCGGGGGTACATTTACAGAACTGATGGTCCTAATAGAAGAAGAAAAAGCATTAAAAAATCAGATGGTAATCATAGAAGTTAAAATGAATAAGAAGATTTTAGGGAATATATCTCATTTTTGAGGGTAGAATCAGGGAGAATTGTGCACTTTCATGATATAGCCCTTGGTGTCTTTGTTATAACCAGAATGTAAGACTGGCTAAATCATTTTTTTGGACCCTTTGTGATACTTGGTTTTTCTTGTTCTGTGAATCTGGAATTCCAGACTCCTCTATTAATTGTAGAGGCATTAAAAGGAACATTGTGGCGTTAAAACCATCGAGACACTTGTCTAGGCCTCCTGACTGTGACATGTGACGTGGCAGAGGTAACTCTGTACAAGATGACCACACAAGTCCCAGGAAGCCACTCTGGGGCCAGGAGCACGCCTTGGGTCATGGACAGCCCGAGCGAGCTCCCTGTGCTTGGGGAGCCCCTGTGCTAGGGGCTCTGCACCTAGAGCCCCAGTCACCTGCCAGAGCCCGTAGTTGGTCACGTCTCTGTCGTTCTAGTGATGTGTTTGGCTCTCCTATCAGGGCCAGGCCTTAAGCTGGCTGCATCCCCCATGGGCAGGTGATGGGGCTGAATGTATGAGTGCTTTTCAGCCTCCCTGCCGGGCTCTTTCACCTCTTCAGATCAGAGTTCAGATGGATAACCAAATCTTTTCCCACCCACAAAATACTTTAATTCAAGTGTTTTTTGTAATGGGGACTCAGTACATTTAGTTCTAATGTTGACAGATACATCCGAAACTACTAATCTATGGGGAAGGACAGGGGTTTTAGTTTTTATTGCAAAGAATAATTCTTGCTGATGTCATGCCTTTGCAATTTATTTCTCGTGTTTGTTAAGAGGGGTCATACTTGAATAGCAAGTTCAATGATGAATACTGAGAATTATATACAAAGTGGAAGCAAACCTTTGTTGTAATTCATGTAGCAATTTAGTTTGACACTTTGGCCAGGTGTACGGAAAATGTCTGACTAAATGTAAGAGGGAGGTTTGCCGTTTATAATAGACGTGGTCATTTGCCGTCTCCTCACCTGGTAATCCCCCCCCCTTTTTTGTACCTGACTAATTTCACCTATCTATTAAGTGCACGTTTGCATGAATATGTCTATCCAGTCCTGCCACTGGAAAATGAAATAATTTCATCAAGTTTTTTTTTCTTGGTCTTTAAGTTGGATACACTTAAAGAAAACAACCTGAAAAATGTGGAAGAGCTGAACAAATCGAAAGAGCTTCTGACAGTAGAGAATCAAAAAATGGAAGAATTCAGGAAAGAAATGTAAGTTCATGTCCTTTGAGAGAAACTGTGGGACTTTAATGTCACAAAAGTGAAAATGATACTAATGATTTAAAAAATAACTTGACAAACACTTGCTTAAAGTAAAAAGTAATCACCACCCTCTCTGTCCCCCGAATGCTTTAGCATACCTGGGAGCCCCTATACCCGCTTAGCTGTGAGGAAGCCAAGTCAAGATAGTAGCTGAGTTAAAGAAGCAAAACGAAAAGTGTGCTTCCTGCCTGAGAAGTTAGGACCCTTTATAAATAAATCTCTCAAGATCCTTTCTATAGGGAGATAAAAAGCATGTCACTTTTGAGATTGTTAATCTTGATTTTAAGAGTAATTGAACCTCTGGCATGGAAGTCAGGTGAAAGGATTCTGGAAGAATCTTTTCTTTTTCATATTGTATTCATTTTTGAGACAGAGAGAGAGAGAGAATGAGAATGAATATGAGCAGGGGAGGGGCAGAAGCAGGTTCCAGGTTCTGAGCTGTCAGCACAGAGCCCGATGCGGGCTCCCAACTCACGAACAGTGAGATTGACCTGAGTCAAAGTCCGACACTTAACTGACTGAGCCACCCAGGCGCCCCTGCAAGAATTTTTCTAATCCAGGTTTATCCATCAGTCTGCCACCTAGACTGCCACCTGTCTGCCACCTGTCTGCCACCTGGCCAGACAGGCTGGCCATGTTTCCTTTGTCAACAACACCTCCAAATCCTTGCCTTTCAGGTCTGTTTTCAGGTCTATGAATTGTTGGTGTTGATCTGGCTTTTTCAATGATCGTTTCGGTGTAGATTCCATGTTGCTCTTCGGTTCTCAGAGCTACACTCTATATCAACTGTGTGAACCTGGAAATGTAGAGGCAGTTAATCCAGTGAATATTGGAGTGTGTCTTCTGTGCTAGGAAGGATAAGAAGATGGATTTATATGGTCCCTGCCCTTTAAGGGTTTGTATTATTTATCCCCCCCTTCTGATCGAACAAAGAGATTAGCTTCAAACAGAAACAAAAGCATCAGTTCCAAGTCTCCATCCTCAGTACGATTTGTTGATCAAGCTTGGGACTAAACTGGTACATGGTCGGGTTCTTCTGAGAGTTGGTAAAATCCTCCAGAAGGAATCTCATCTGAGCAACTTAGGCAGTGCTTGATTAATCCCTTCCTCAGTCTTAGTTTTTTGTGTGTTTTTTTAAAGTTTTTGTTTATATTCCAGTTAGTAAACATACAGTGTAAGATTAGTTTCAGGTGTACAATATAGTGATTCAGAACTTCCATACTCAGTCTTAGTTTTAATGATCCTTCTCTAGACAGTGATTCAGCAGTTCCCCAAAATTCTGTTCACCTGCACAGATTGATCAGTCGACAGTTGTGATTGTGGCCATCAGGATGGGCTTGAGCTTCTTGGCCTTCGCAAGCCAAATCACACAGATAAAGGTCCCTGTGATGGGAAACAAAGTCATCGTCAGTTCCAAGAGGGTGGCTGCAGATCTGGTTTGGGACATTCCCCTGTGACACACGTCATTGTGCTGCCCTGGCGCTTTGGGAGCACTGTTGACTTTAGTTCATTTGTGTCACACAGGCAGCTGGTGAGGGAGGATCTGAGCAGCAGGAGAAGATTCCCTAACCAACCTCCCACTGCCATAATCCCACCTCTGAGCTCTCTGGGCTGTACTAGGTAAGGGAGGGGCAGGGCCGGTGTGGACTGAGCCAAGACAGCTCTTGGGATTTACATAAAACTTCGCTTTCCTGCAGGCCTACTTGGAGTCTCTCGTGATGGTCATTGCATTGGTCTAGTATTGAAGTGTTCACCATCCTCACTGAGTCTGTGTTATGTCACCCACCTCCAGTTAGTATGGGGTGGTTTTATGTCCGTTAAGAGATCATTTTTTGCCCTTCTTCAAATGATTCCATGGAATAATAAAATCTTAGCCTCCTAACTCTGGACACGAAGGATCATGAGCAAAAGACTGAGGCTTCTGCTGCTGCTCCTCTAACCATGGCCTGTCCTCTTCCCTAGAACCATTTTTCCCAGATCTCTGATCCCTGAGGGTGTAGTTGGGGTGGGGTGAGGAGGAACCAGGACCACCCAGCAGACAGCCTGGGCTGCTTTTGATTCTCCGCCTTTTTATCTGGCCTACCAGGACTGAGGGGACTGCATCTCTTGTCAGTAACCTGGCACGCGGTGGCTGGGGTTCTTAGCAGGAGGAAGGACCAGTAGGACACAGCAGTGACAGGCATCAGAAGCTGGTAGAGGGAGTAGGAGGAGTAGGTTGAAAGAGCCCCTGCCCCCGGTGACTCGTTGTTCCCTGCTGTAGACGTGGCCACGTTTCAAGGACCACTAAAATAAGTGTACTATGTAATGGGAATGGTGCTTCTCAAAAAAAAAAAAAAAAGCAGTTATTTTACTGTTCCTCAGCGCTCAAAGCTAGAGAATGAGCAGCTGATTATTTCCCAGCATGTATCTGGGGTGCTTTGTGTTCTTTAGAACTTTCCTGGTATTTCCCCACACCTTAGATAGGACTTTGATTCCTGGAGGAAAATGGACACCAATGTAGGCCCTGGAGTTCTCATCAGAACTACGTCCTGTGGAACATTGCCCCTGGCTCTGGCAACCCGGCGCTTGTAGCTAAATACTCCTTTTCCTCTGTGCCATTTACTAGACTGGTTTTAGGAAAACTCTTGGTTAGCCAGCTCCTATTTTCAGGTGGACAGAGAGAACAAAATGGTTTCTCAGAGTGTAATTTCGGATGTTAGGGAAAATGATAGAAGCGGCTTAATTTTTGTCTTTACTCACCTGGCACAGTAATAAATCTAGAATATAGAATATACTTAGCATGGCAGTTAATTGATTGATAACAGACTTGTAAGTAGAATGTTTGCAATGCAGTCAATGTTAACAATATGTATCTTGCCTCTCAGATTAAAACTGGGATAGTCTTCTGTCGTGTAGAAAAAAAAGCAGCTTAAAAAAATTGTTAGAAATACTTGGAGGTATTTTTGGACTTATTCTCTGGAGTACTTCCGGAAGTTGGGCTATTAGAGCCTCCTTTCTGTACCCACTATGCTTTAAAGGAAAACGGGGGG